AACAGGCCTTGCTAAAAAGATTGTCCCCATCCTTCCTGTAGCCCCCTTTAACAATCATTAGCAGGATGCAAATACACACCCGTCACTGTCTCCCTGGCAGTGCAGCCAGGGCTTGCTCAGCAGCAGCCCCAGGGACTGTGCTTTGGCAGAGGGATTTTCGGATGTCTCAATGCCATCAGCTGTTGGGCCTGACACAGTCATGTCCTGGCGAGTCATACTGGTGCTGTCAGCTGTGCTCAAGGGTGGTGACAGCCGAGATAACATCGCTGTGCAACAAGAGAGGAAGGTCCGGTTGCTTTCGAGGGTGTTGCAATCTTATTACTGGATTCCTGGGCATGATAGCATACCAGAAGGGATATAATTATGTCAGAGTGAAAAATGTCTGAGCTTGTGGTATTTGCTGAGCTCCAGCCATCATGTATTCGTGCTGATGGATTTTGGGCCCTCGGCAGGAGTGTGGTCAGAGGTTTGATGTTATCAATCTGTTGTGTGGCCTCTCTCCCTCGTCCTTTCTGTGCAGAAACGTTGTGCACACACACACACGTCCCGAGGTGCTCCGAGCTCTCGCACAAACGCTTCCAGCTTAGTGGAAATAACTGGCGTGATGCAACAGTGACTCGTGCTGCCTTATCTTGTCCCACTGACATCTTGCAGACATCCTCCACCGGAGCAGCACGCCCAGCTCCGTCCCTTCCTCAGCCTCCAAAACTCAAAGCCTCCAGCTTGGAATATGTTCCTGTCATTAGTCCTGGCTTTGGGGCATTGCCACAATTGTTTTGCTTCTCTGCAGACACAGGGATCTCTGAGCCTGCGTCTCCCAAAGGATGGGTGGTCTTCTGATACAACAGACCCTCTAAGCATCATGTCTCCTTCCCCCTCTGTGCCTGCCTCTACTCTCCTCCCAAACTTCTTCTCATCCCTACCTGGTGCTGAGCTCTTGGTGTCAGCCCTGTCCCCTACCCTGTCGCCTGCTCTGTCCCCTGCGGTCTCCCTGGGACCAGTCACTGCCAGATGCATGGACCCTGGCACAGGTGCTTCTCATGCCGTGGGTTGGAAAGTGCCCCATTTCAATACTGAAAGCGTACCAGCTTTTTATCTCCACTGTGGGTGCTGCAATCCCCATTGCTCCATCCTCCCTCCATTCCTCTTGTTATTCTCATACTGAGCGTCACCCGTCATGAGCAGTGCCATCCTAATGTTACCCTTTCTGTCCAACCCTCCCTGGATGGTGACACTACTCTTCCTTGTTCCCCCTTTGATCTGCACAGATGAAACCTCCATCTCTTCCCGACACTGCAGGTCCCGTGAAGCTATTCTTTGTGCTTTCCTCTAATGAATGAAGCCAAGTTGGTTTTCCCTTCCCTGCTCTCTTCCCCCTCCACCTGCAGCACAAATCTTGGTGCCTGCAGCACTGCCCTTTGGCTGCTCTGCAGGGACAGTCCCTGGAGACATCTGCATCTCTGTCAACCCGTCTTTCTCATGTCTGTTCCTCTGCATCTGATCTTATCCATCTACAGCTCAGCACATCTCAGCTGCAATCCAGCTCCTCTGGCTTTATGTATCTGCAGCGCAGGCTGTGAGCCTGGTGTCTGGGTTTCCAACCTGCACACACAGATCCAGCTGTGCACATGGGGGAGCCTCAGGGTGAGGCTCACCTGGCCAGAGGCAGTTGCCCTCACTGGGATGTGATGATTTGCACTTTGGCTGCAGGCAGACATCCCATCCCTTCTCTTCTTACTTTCCCATCATCCCTGGAGATCAAAAAGCCTGTTTTTTCTTTTTTTTTTTTTTTCCCCTCCCACCAGTTTGTGCTGGCTGCTCTTCTTCATCAGCAGCTCCAATGCAGGCTTTCTACTACTGAGACAGCAGCTGGTCTCACCTTGGGGATGGTTACAAGGTTAGCTCTGAGCTGTGCAGGCTACAAATGTGCTTAGAAAAGCAAGGCATCACTGAGACTGAACACAGATCCGCCTTGGGACACACTATTTGCTCACGTAGGCCAGATCTAGCCTGGCCCATCTTGCACCTTGCTCCCTGAGCGATTGTGAAGGGCTGGAAAAAATCAAGCAGCCCTGCTCTGTGTCGATCTGCTCCCCACGTGTGTTCCTCTGCCCTAGGCTCCTGCGTGCTGCAATCCTGCCCCTCAAACACCTCTATGGCATCAAGATGCAGGTGTGGGGCTCTGAGCATCTGAACATCAAGGAGCCCTATGTGATAGTTTGCAACCACCAAGCTTCCCTTGACCTCATGGGTATGTGCAAGGGGGAGGGGGGGCTCATCACTGCAAGGGCAGACTTTGGGGTGCTGCAGGGGTGGAGCAGGCTCACCCTGGGGGGGTCCCAGCGAGGCCAGCACCAGGATTTCTACAGGGCAGTGTGGTAGGCATAGGCCAGAAGAGCTGGTGGGACAGGAGCTCAGAGCTATGGGCGTGCTGCAGAGAGAGGGTTGGGACAATGGGAGATGATAGCAGGCCACTGCAGCCACAGGGCTGGTTGGTTCTGGGTGCCATTGGGCAGGGATGGATCCTTTTCTCTCCCATCCATCCTCTAGGCATGGTGGAGGTCATTCCTGACCGCTGTGTGCCCATCGCCAAGAAGGAGCTCATGTACATGGGCACCGTGGGGTGGGCCTGCTGGCTCAGTGGCATCATCTTCATCGACCGCCAC